AGATGCAGTAGGGACACAAAGGAAAATTTCAGCTTTGAAACCTACTGTTATGACAGGACTTGGCTCTTTAACCTTCTCCAAAAACACTGTTTTGTTTCTCTTTGCATTTCATCTCTAACCACTCTACCTGAAGGCAGCCAGTACACACTGCCTGGGAGAAGAAAGGTAGGGGCCCAGATGCTTTTATTGTTGTTAGTTGCCTAATAAACTCCCACTCAAGATGATCCTATGTACCACAAAACAACACTGCCCAGTCTGGTGCCATCCTCACCATCACCAGCATGCTTGAGCCCATCATTGCCTTTCAATCTAGGGGAATCTTTTTCCAGCCCTATATTGAACAATATTCTGTTGTGATCCATTAGGTTTTCAGTGGCTGATTTTCAGAAGTGGATTGCCAGGCCTTTCTTCCTAGTCTGTCTTAGTGTTTTTTTGCTGAAACCTATTGCCAATGGGTGATCTTGCTGGTATTTGAAATACTGGTGATGTAGCCTCCAGCATCATAACAACACACAAGCCACCACAGAACATCAAATTGACAGATAACAGTAGTCAAGATATACAGACGAATATTTTAAAGTCTTGTTTTCACTGTTTATGCATTCTCCCTGTTTCCACTACTCTCAAGTGTTTGCTGTATCATTTTCTGTGGCTGAAAAGTCCACATGCAGAAAGGTACATACAGAAGGGAGGTTGTTTGTCCTCTATTATGAGCAGAAGTGGCCAAGCTGAGGTTCTACCCTAGGATTGTTCTCACTGCCATGCTCCTTGCCTGTCCACCTATTAGGCCACCATCTACGATGAACGTATTACTCCTTGGAAGGAAGATGGGGCAATCTACTTCCGTAGTGATTGATACTGCCTCGGAAATGGATATGACTCTATGGCAGTGAGTTTTTGTTTGTTTTTTTTTTTTTGGCTCTTTTAGAGTCCTCAAATATTCCCTCCTTCTTCAGAGCACTTTTAAAGGTAAATTTAATGATTGAAAAAGAAAAGGAATTCTCCAGATTTCCTTAAGTACTTCATTAACATGCCTCAAAGGATCTAGAGGCATCAGAGGGTGCAGAAATCCTCAGTCTGCACCCTGTGATTAAACCTGCCTTTCTTGAAGCAGCATCATTCAAGTTAATAAATGATTTCTTACCCAATTCTGTTGTCTTGCATTTTAATTACTGTTTTCTAGAGTATTGTTTTCAACTCTTCAAATGCATTGTTGGTTACATTATTAGTTTAATAGGTTTCTGGGAGTTGGACTTGGAACCTTATCACAACTGATTACATCATTTCTTCTTTGCTTCAAAGTACTCATTCAATGTACAAACATCTTTTTAGAACACAGTCTGGTTGTTGGTGGGAAACTTCTTGTATTCCAATATGAAATCTCTGAAACTTTTATCTCTGGCATACAGTTTGAGAAAATGGGGTATTTTGTTGAGTTTAGCTCCTGTAATAGTGTGTACTACTGAAAATACAGTTTGAATAATAGGATGGTATCAAGAAAAATGGGTGAATGGGAATTGATATCTTTTCCCATCCTCATCCTAGGAAACAAGCCAGCATCAAATTTCTATAATTTATTACTTTAACATTATTTACTTTTTCTAAGAGTTCTAAGAGTGATAAGGGTTTGAATGAACCCAGACCCCTTAGTGTGAGGTAGGATAAGTCCGCTTTCAGCAAGTGGGCAGGCCAAGCTGCAGGCCATTGTGTCCTTAAAAGGCCTCTGAGGGGAGTATGGCTGCTGTTCCTGTTGGCTCATGGGGTTGGCAAGAAGGACTTGAAGCAGGCTTGACGGAAGTGGCAAAACCACAAAGATAGTTTGGATTTGCCTAAATGATTGGGGAGGGAGACTAAGTTCCATGGCAAGACCCGTGCTCCACTGGCATGCTGATAGCCCAGGGATTGACCACGTATCTAGAAAATGTAGATTACTTTGGAATTTTGGAGGCTTCTCCAAAATTCAAGGGGACTAAATATACTTGATGGGTATAGGTCACTAAATTCTTCCTTCTTCCAATTCCAAGATGGGTGTAGTGAATACTACCAATGATCATTTCTAGTAGCCTTCCCTCCTGTGGCTTTGGTGTTCCTGCTTCCATCCCGGAATCTGACTGCCTGGTGTTGGGCTTTTCTTTGTTGGAAGGTTTTTGTTTATTTATACAATCTTTTCAATTTGTATAGGTTTGTTCAGATTTTTTATTTCTTCTTGAGCCAGTTTTGGTACTATAGTTTGTGTGTTTCTAGGAATTTTCATTTCATCTAGGGTATCTAATTTGTTGGTGTACAATTTTTTGTAGTATTCTCTTATCAACCTTTTCAGTTATGTAAGGTCTGTAATGGTTAACGCATTTGGCTGCTAAGCCAAAGGTCAGTGGTTTGAACCCACCAGCCGATCTGTGGAGGAAAGATGAAGTAGTCTGCTTCCGTGAAGATTTATAGCATTGGAAACCCAGTGTAGGTCCCTGAGTTGGAATCAACCCAATGGAAGTGAGTTCTTGGAATGTCAGTAGCAAGATCCCTATTTTCTAATATTAAAAATGTGTGTCTTCTTTTTCACTTGGTCGAAATAGTTAAAGATTTACCAATTTTGTTGATATTTTCAAAGAACCTAATTTTGGTTTCCTCGATTTCCTCTATTATTTTTCTGTTCTCATTTTATTTATCTCCACTCTAATGTTAATTATTTCCTCCTTTCTGGTAGTTTTGGGTTTAGTTTGTTCTTCTTTTTCTAAATTACTTAAGGTGTAAAAGTAGCTTACTTATTTGGGATATTTCTTCTTTTTTAATGTAGGCATCTGCATCTATAAATTTCTCCCTGAGCACTGCTTTCACTGCATCCCATAAGTTTTGGGATCTTGCATTTTTGTTTTAATTTGTCTCAAAGTATTTTCTAATTACCTTAGTGATTTATTCTTAAGCCTACTTGTTGTTTAAAAGTGTGTTGGTTAATTTCCACATTTTTTTTGGTATTTTCCATTTTTCCATATGTTATTGATTTATTCTATAGTCAGAGAAGATACTTGGCAAGATTTCAATGTTTTTAAATTTATTAATACTTTTTTTTTAAGCATAATATATTGTCTATCTTGAAGAATATTCCAGGTACACTTCAGAAGAATTTAAATTATGTTGTTGTTGGGTTCTATGTATGCTTTCAGGTCTAGTTGATTTATGATATTTTTCAATTCCTTTTCTTCCTTGTTGACCTCTATCTATTATTGAAAGTGAGTATTGGGAAGTCTCCAACTATTGTTATAGAATTGTATTTTTTCAGTTCTGTCAAGTTTTGCTTTATATGTTTGGGGCTTTGTTGTTAGGTTTGTATATGTTTATAATTGTTATATCTTCTTGATGAACTCCTGATTTATCAATATATGATATCCTTCTTTGTTTCTTAACAATTTTTGACTTGAAGTCTATTTTGTCTGATATTAGTACAGTTACCCAGCTCTCTTTTGATTACTATTTGCATAGCAAATCTTTCCACATCCTTTCACTTTTAACCTATTTGTGTCTTTGGATCTAAAAATACAGAAGTAGATTGCCCAACCTTCCTTCCAAGGAGTGGCTGGTGGGTTTGAACTGCCAGACTTCTGGTTAGTAGTCAAGTGCCTTAGGCACTATGCCACCAGAGCTCCCATGGCTCTTGTAGACAACATATAATTGTATCTTGTGTTTTTTCTTCATTTGTATTTTTAATCCTATCTTTAAACTTCTGTCTTTTAATTGGAGGATTTAATCCATTTACATTTAAAATAACTATTGATAAGGGCAGACTTACATTTGCAATTCTACCATTTCTATCTTATATATTTTTGTTCTTAAATTCTTTCATTGCTACTTTATTTTGTGTATGATTTTTTCCAGTGTACCATTTTATTTCTTTCTCATTTCCTTTTCTGTATATGCTTTTTAGTTATTTCCTTAGTGGTTACTCAGGGATTACAATTAACATTTTAAGTTTCTAACAATCTGAGTAGAATTAGTAACAACTTAGCTTCAATAGTTTGTAAAAACTACTCTTACCCAGCTTCTTTCCCCTTTATAGTGGTTATTGTTACAAATTGCATCGTTTTACATTTTGTGATTACTAATAAATAATTGTTGTTTTAAGCATCTATTTTTTTTTTTCAATCATATAGTGACAAGAGTTACAAACCAAAAATACAGTAGTACTGGCTTTTATGTTTATCCATGTAGTTATCTTTATCAGCATTCTTTATTTCTTCATGTGGCTTTGACTTACTGGCCAGTGCCCTTTCACCTCAGCCTGCCGACTCCCTTTAGCATCTTTTGTTGGGCAGTTCTCCTAGTGATAGATTCATTAAGCTTTTGTTTATCTAGAAATATCTCAACTTCTCATTTATTTTTTAAGGATATTTTTGCTGGATAAGGGAGCTCTGATGGTGCAGTTGTTAGGCATTCAGCTGTTAACCAAAAGGTCAGTGATTTGAACTCAACAGCTTCTCCACAGGAAAAAGATTTTCAGCCTTAGAAACCCTACTCTGCAGTTTTACTCTATCCTAAAGGGTTGTATGAGGAATCTGAGTTTTTGTTTTTGCTGGATATGGAATTCTTGGTCAATAGATTTTCTTTTCTTTCAGTACATTAAAGATGCCCTGCCATTTTTTTTTTTTTTTTCTGCCTCCATAGTTTCTGATGAGAAATCAGTTGTTAGTTTTATTTAGTATCCCTCCTACACGGCAAATTACTTCTCTTTTGCTGCTTTCAAAATTCTCCTTTCATCTTTTGATAGGTGTGGATGTCTTTGAGTTTTTTGTACTTGAGGTTTGTTGAACACTTTGGATGTATAGATTCAGGTCTTTCATCAAATTTGGAAAGTTTTGTCATTACTTCTTTCAGTATTCATTCTTCCCCTTTCTTCCTCGCCCTTCCTTCTTGGCAACCCCGTTATGGGTACGTTGGTATGCTTGATGATGTTCACAGGTGTCTTAAGCTGTGTTCATTTTTCTTCATTCTTTTTTCTTTCTGCTCCTCAGATGGGATGACCTCAAATTGTCAATTATCTTCGACTTTGATGAGTTTTTCTTCTACTGGCTCTAATTGCTTTTGAAGACATCTAATAAAATTTTTATGTAAGTTTTTGTACTTTTCAGCTCCAGAATTTCTTTTTTATTCCTTTTAATAATTTCTATAATTTTCGCTGGGCAATTGACTGGAAAAGATGCATATTTGTGCCCATTCCAAAGAAAGGTGATCCATCAGAATGTGGAAATTATTGAACAATGTCATTAATATCACATGCAAGTAAAATTTTGCTGAAGATAATTCAAAAACAGTTGCAACAGCATATTGACAAGGAACTTCCAGAAATTCAAGGTAGATTTAGAAGATTATGTGGAATGAGGGATATCATTGCTGATGTCAGATGGATCTTGGCTGAAAGCAAAGAATTCCAGGAAGATGTTTACCTTTGTTTTATTGACTATGCAAAGGCATTAACTGTGTGGACCATAACAAATTATGGATAACATGGTGAAGAATTGGAATTCCAGAACACTTAACTGTGCTCATGAGGAACCTGAACATAGACCAGGAAGCTGTTGTTCAAACAGAACAAGGGCATACTGCATGGAATAAAATCAGGAAGGGTGTACATCAAGGTTGTACCTTTTCATCATATTCAATCTGTATGCTGATCAAATAATCTGAGAACCTGGACTATATGAAGAAGAATGCAGCATCAGGGCTGGAGGAAGACTCATTAACAACCTGTGATATGCCGATGACACAACCTGGCTTGTTGAAAGTGAAGATGACTTGAAGCACTTACTAATGAAGATCAAAGAGTACAGTCTTCAGTATGATTACACTTCAACATAAAGGAAACTAAAATCCTCACAACTGGATCAATAATCAACATCACAATAAATGGAGAAAAGATTGAAGTTGTTATGAATTTTGATTTACTTGGATCTACAATCAACACCCCATGGAAACAGCAGCCAAGAAATCAGAAGTCATACTGCACTGGACAAATCTGCTGTAAAAGACCTATTTAAAATGTTAAGAAGATGTCACTTTGAAGACTAAGATACAGCTAACCCAAGCCATGGTATTTTTAGTCACCTCATATGCATGTGAAAGTTGGACAATGAATAATGAAAACTGAAGACGAGTTGATGCCTTTGAATTATGTGTTAGCAAAGAATACTGACAATACCATGGACAAACAAATCTGTCCTACAGCAAGTGCATCCAGAATGCTCCTTAGAAGTGAGAATGGCCAGATTTTGTCTCACCTACTTTGGTCATGTGGTCAAAAGGGACCATTCCATGGAGAAAGATATCATGATTAGTAAAGTAGAGGGTTGGCGGAAAAGGGGAAGACCCTCAACAAGATGGATTGACACAGTGGCTACAACAATGGGCTCAAGGATAGCAAGGACTGTGGGGATGGTGCAGGACTGGAAAGTGTTTTATTCTGTTGTACACAGAGTTGCTATGAGTCAGAGTTGACTTGATGGCAACCTAACAACAACAATGACATTTGTTGGGACACCATTCTCCTGGTTTACTTTAGTTCTTTGTGTATGGTTTACTTTAGTTCTTTTAGTAAATTTAAGACAGTTTATTTAAAATTATTATCTATTAAATCTGATGTTTGTGCTTCCTTAGGGTTGGTTCTCTCAATTTCTTTTTTCTTATGGATGAGCCTCACTCTCTTGTTTCTTTACATGCCTCATAATTGTTTTGTTGAAAACTTAACAGTTTGATCATTATACTATGGGTCATTCTGGGATCAAATTCTTCCTCTTCCACTGGATTTGTTGTTGCTGCTTAATGTGAGTTTAGTTGTTTTTTTAAAGTGACACTTCTAAACTGTTTTTTGTAATGACTGGTTTTTGCCATGTGCAGTCACTAAAGTTTCTTTTCTGTTTGTTTAGTACTTAGTTAATCCAGTCATTTGACAGAGATTTCTTCAAATGCCTAGAGCCATAAATAAATAATACATACATACATACATACATACTCTCCTGGTCCTTACAGATTGACTGAGTTGGAGCACTTTTTCAATGCTAAGCCAAGCCATTTACAACTCTGTTGTAGCCTTCACTTCCTGCTTTCATGGAGACTAAATGTCAGCAGAGGTGAAAGCTTAGGGTCTTTTTAGATTTTCCAAGAATGAGTGAGTCCTGGGTATATTCGTGACCCTCTTGATGCCCTGACATACACAGAAGGCCTTCAAAGCTCTCAACTACAGCTTCCAGCCTCCAGCCTCTCAGTTCTTGGTCCAATTGTTGCTTACTCTGTCTCTCATCCCCTTATCTAGGCAGATGCAACTTGCACATACACATTTAAATGCTTTGACAAATGTCATCAGGAGGTCACACCAGCTCTGAATGTTCTCAAGTGAGTGAAAAAAGGCAAGCCCCTGAGTTAATCCCTCCACGAGCCACTGAATAAGTCAAAACACATAACAAAAATTCCTTAAGAACAAAGTCTACATTGCTTTCTGTGGCACCCGCAAGATATACCAGGTACATTGGCCACCATTCCCTCAGCTTCCACCAAATATGCAATGTGGAAGGTGAGTAAGTTAAAATGCCTTTGGTGGTTAAGTTTGTGTGTCAGTTGGCTAGGCCTGGTTGAGTGACTGGGCAGCTGGATGTAGTATTCCCTATGATGAGACTGGTAATCAACTCCATGGTGGAATCTACTGTGACCAGGTGAGTAGCTGCCTTTGGGTATGTGGTCTGCTTCCCTTATATAAGAAACAGCTTTGGGAATGTCTCTAGCTTATGGCACGCTTGAACCCTGCATGTAGCCGTGTCATTGTTCAGCAGCCTGCCATGCTCTGCCAACCTTGGGACTGTCAATAGACTTGAATTAATGGCCTACCATGTGGTTTGGTAAGATGGGGACTGAGCCATTTTATTTGTCGACTCTGGGCTTGTTAGTCTCGGAAGCCAGTAGCTGCCAGAGTGAAGAGATGCCTCTAGCTTCAGTGGACTGGGAGCAAAAGGCAGAACTGAAGCCCAAGGTCTAGGGGCTTTCACACAGCCTCTAGAGTCTGACACTTTGAACTCAGACTTCTAGCCTCCCAAACTGTAAGAGAATAAAATCCTGTTTGTTAAGGACATCCCATTTGTGGTATATTCTTGTCAGAGCAGCACTAGGTAGCCAAAACAGAATGTGTACTGAGAGTGGGGTGCTGCTCTGACAGATACCTAAAATGTGGAAACAGGAGTAGAGTACGTCCTTGACCTGAGACCCTGGCAGAGAGACCCTGGCATATGGCATGAGAGATGACAGGGGCAGAGCCAAGAGAACGTCATGAGAGATGGCGGGAGCAGAGCCAAGAGACTAGCATGAGACAGTGACAGCCTTACCAGCCCAAGAGGAGAAAGCCAGATGCCATTGGGTAGGTGGCTTCTTGATGGAATGGGTTGCCTGCAGGCATTAATTGGTAGAAGAGACCAGCTTGAAATGGAGTAGCAGGTTGGCCGGCCCATGGAGCAAGAAAGCTGAGTGCTTTTGGGGCAGGAAGATTTCTGGTGGAGTGGGTTGCCTTTGGAATTAATCGGCAGAAGTGGAGAGACTAAGGAAATGGGAATCAGAGCTGCCTCAGCCTCAAGGGTAAGACCATGGTCTTTGGGAATGTAACCACCACAGCCCTCTAGGTTTCAAAGAGCTAGACCTTCACCAACTTGGTTCTGGAATGTGGCGCTGCTTGTTCACGTGAGCTAGTGGGATGGAGTCATAGCTGCTGCACAAGAGTGAGGGGGCAGGGCTACCATGCCCAAGAGGAAGAGGAACAGGGCCTGCCAGGCCAAGGGGGTGAGGTTGCCACTCAGGAACTAGGGCACTGGAGTCACCCAGTGAAGAGATCTGTACAGATACACCCACTGAAGATGGCGCCAGGTTAACAAAAGGAGGAATTGTGGTGGTTAAGTTTGTGTGTCAACTTGGCTAGACCTGGTTGAGTGGCTGGGCGGCTGGATGTAGTATTCCCCATGATGAGACTGGTAATCAACTCCTTGGTGGAATCTACTGTGAGCAGCTGAGTAGCTGCTTTAGGGACATGATCTGCTTCCTGTATATAAGGAGAAGGCTTTGGAATAGCCTCTAGCTTATGGCACGCTTGAACCTTGTATGTGGCCATGTTGCTGTTCAGCAGCCTGCCATGATCTGCCAACCTTGGGACTTTCAATAGGCTTGAATTAATGGCCTGCCATGTGGTTTGGTAGCATCGAGACTGTGCCACTTTATTTGTTGACCTTGGGATTGTTAGCCTCAGAAGCCAGTAGCTGCCTAAGTAAAGAGATTCCTCTAGCTGCAGTGGGCTGGGAGCAAGAGGCAGAGTTGAAGCTCAAGGTCGAGGGGCTTATACACAGTCCCTAAAGTCTGGCCCTTTGAACTTGGATTTCTAGCCTCCCAAACTGTAAGAAAATAAACTCCTGTTTGTTAAAGCCATCCCATTTGTGGTATATTCCTCTCAGAGTGGCACTAGGTAACCAGAACAATGACACAACACTCTCTTACTGAAATTTAGCAGCTACTTTCTTAATTTAGTGAGCTGACTCGATGGCAGTGGTTTTTTTGTTCTTCATTTAGCACTTCCTTGGTTGTTGTAATTTTTTTTTTTAAATTAGCTTCCTGAGTTCCAAAACAATTTATTCTGACAGATTTTGCCAGCTTAATTTTTGCTTTAATAAAGGGACAGAGTTTTGGAGTCCTTTATTCTGCCTTTTTTGATGACATCATCATACCTTTTGATTTTCATTCTAAAATATCTCTAAAATGTGAACTTCTTACCCATTTCTACTGCTATCACTCTAGTCCAAGCTGCCATCATTTCTCACCTCATTGCAATGGAATCATAACTGGTCTCCTGGCTCCAATCTTTGTTTTCTAATAAGCTAGAGGAATATTTTAACATAAATAATGATTAAGTTCCTCCCTTCCTTAATGTAACTTCACTGCTTTTATAAAACAAGGGCCTAAACTTTCATATTTTCTCTTGTCTGAGGTGTAGTCATACTTTCCTCCCTGATATGCTTTGGATGGAATCTCCCTTTTGCCCGAAATGCTTTGCCCAT